ATAAATACATATCTTTTTATAATATATATTTATATATATATCTATTTAAAACTTTTACTCAATTTATACTCTAACAATATCAACTTATTAATTTATTTTAATTAACAAATAATAATAATAATACAGCGTACTAAATTTTTTTTTTTTTTTTGTTTTGTTTTCGTTAATGCTAAATTAAAAATCCTCTCCATTTTTCTTTTATTACTATTATTATTATTATTTCTACACAAAATTTTTTTTATTCTATCTTCACACGACAAAACCGTAACTCGATAAAAATCATAATTATTAAAATAAATTTAATAAATAAATAAAAACCGATGACGTAATAAAATGAATTAAATAAAACAATACGTTATTAAAAAATTTTATGTAATAATAATAATAATAAAATAAAATTCGACTCGAAATTAAAAAATCAATAAATTAATTAATAACTCACGGAAATCGAAAGCACCTGAAAACTACTAAACATAATAAATAATACGACGATCCAGCAATTCAATTTTTTTTTTTTTTTTCAATCAAAAATTTTTTTAAAATCTATTTAATTATTTATTTATTTATTTTATAAGCTATTAATTAATAAAATCGTTGAATAATAATAATAATTTATTTTATTACTTTTTTTTTTCTTGTAATTTTATTAAATTAGTATTTATTTAATTATTCATTTTTTATTTTCTTATTATTATTATTATTTTATTTTAACGTTTTACAAGCGATATTTATAATAATAATAATAATAATATTAATAATTATAACAATAACAATAATAATAATAATCATGGTAATAATTTATGAAACAAGAAAAAAAAAGAGAAAGAGAAGGAAGAGAAATTAATCAGAGCCTTTTGAAATCTATTATTGAGTGGGATTCAATGAGACAACCTTTTCCTTGATGATAATAATACTAATAATAATAATTAATAATATAAATAATAATAATAATAACAATAATAATGAAAATAAAATAATTTAGTTAGTTACTATTTTTATTATCATCTTTCTTTATTGTTATATTCGATATTATCATTATTATCAAAGTTATTATTGTTATGATTATTATTATTATTATTATTAATAAGTTCTAATTTGTCAAATATAAATATATATTTATTAATTAATAAATTTTATTCAAAAAATTAATAAATAAAATTTTATTTTACGCATACTTATCGTTTACGCATTCGTCGTTTAATTAACATCATCATTATTATTATTATTATTATTATTATTATTATTATTATCAATACTATCACAAATTTAAAATTAACACGAATTCAAACTTTAATAAGAAATTAATTTCAATTTAAAGAAAACAAATTATTAATAATAATAATGATAATAATGAAAATTTAATGCCATTTATAAATAAATAAAAATTTCAAATAGCAACAATAATGAATAATAATAATTAAAATTTATTAAAATAAATAAAACGGCAATTATTCATTATCTTTTCAATTTCCGGTTATTAAAATAATAATAATAATAATAATAATAACGATGTTAATATTATTTTTTATTATTTTATTTTATTGTTAATCAAATTTTTTTATTGTTCAGTCAAATTTGGTGTGTATGTATTAATATATATATACTTTTTATTAATTATCTATTTTACGTCTTTTTATTAAACATAATAATAATAATAATAATAATAATAATAAATATACATATATATTAAAATTTTTTTTTAAATAACAATTTTTTTTTTTAAAATGTAATAAATAAATTAATGATTTTGTTTATTTTAAAACAATCAATCAATCACACAACGTATTAATTATTTTTTATATCGATAATTTTTATTATTTATGTATATTATGTAAAATTTTTATTTATTTATTTATTATTAAACGACAAGAAAACATTTTTATTATTATTTTTTAATTATCGTAAATTTTTATTATTATTATTATTTTTTCTTTAAATAAATTTTAATTTTTATTGAAAATAAAATTTTTTTTTGGCAAACCTCCCGCCATTGTTTTTTATTTTTTTTAACCAAGTTAGGTTATGTTTAAAATTCGACATTAAAATTGTTATTTATTTAAAAGTTTAAAAATAATTTATTAATTTTTTTTTTTTGTTTAAAATCGACGAGAAGTCGTTAATTTAAAATGATGACGTCATAAAATACGTAATAATATAAATACGACGGTTATTAAATGCGTTTACTTGTAAAACGCTCGGTTATAATAAACAACACCCCCGTGGCTACGACGAATTACGTCATCAATTACGTCACACATAGTTAAAAAAAACGAATAAAATTAAAAAATTATCAAAATAATAATAATAAAAATACGAAAAAAATAAAAACAATTTACAGTTTAATAAAAGAGATGTTAAAAAATAAAATTTTTATCGATCGATATATATCGATTAATCGTATTTCCGGAAACGAGACAGACAGATAGACAAACGTTTAAATAAAAAAAACCGTTACATATTAAACGTTCTTATTTTTAAATAAAACCAAAAATAATTTAATTCATCGATTATTATTATCATTATTTTTTTTTTTTTTATAAAAGTGGAAAATACTATTAAATAAAATAAAATAAAATAAATAATTACGACCATTTAATAATATACAAAAAAATTTAATTATTTATTTATTTTTTTTCTCTCTTTTTTCTAACATCGATAAATTTGAATTTTTTAAAATTATTATTATTATTATTATTATTATTATTATTTTAACGACATTTAAACAAATAAAA